TGGGAATCCTCTCCCCTGCCCAGAGACACGGGGGCAGAAGGACACCAGTAGGGAGATTCCACCACACCCCTCCCCTACTGAGAGACAGCTGGCAGCCCAGACTAGGGAAGCCCCTTTGACCCCCTCAGGCAGCACCAGTAGCGGGAACCAGGATAAACTAAGCAGGCCAAGGTAACATCGCAAATGCTCTGAAAATTAAACTGCAGTTGGGACCACAACTTAGAAAAATAGGCCAAGCCCTGCATGCTAAAACTAAACAGGGTGACTGCTTGCTAAAGCAAAACATTTAAACAGGACCCAGAGTTTCCTAACATAATGTCCAGGATACAACTGAAAATCACCAACATACCAAAAACCTATAAAATCACAACCTGAACAAGAAAACAATAATTTCATCCCAACACTGAGGTGAATCAGATGTTGGATTATCTGACAAGGATTTTAAAGCAGCTATCATAAAACGCCTCAACAGTCAACTATGAATTCTCCTGAAATAAATGAAAAAAACAGAAAATCTGGCAAAGAAATAGAAATTGTAAAAAAGGACTGTATGAAAATTATAGAACTGAAAAAGTGTCTGTAGGCTGAAAATTACAAAATGTTGATAAAAGACATCAAAGGAGATCAAATACCCAACAATCAGAGCATAGATAAATAATTATGGTATATTCATAAAATGGGACAGTATACGGTAGTTAAAATGAGTGTATATATTCATCCATACAATTATCAAAACCGAGTTAATTAAAAACTAGTACAGTACAGTACTACATCTAACCTACCACTCACTTGAATTAAAAATAAAACAGAACACATCACTGGATACAGTCTATATGTAGTAAAACTGTAGACACACTGAATGGAAGGACACTGAAAATGGAACATTTCTCTTTGGGCTGGGGAGGGGTGATTAAGGTGACTAGTGGGACAGATGAACAACTAACAGGCTAATGAACAAGTGATAATGTAATGTTTTTCCCCTTATTTAAAATATTTTAAAGCCAATATGAACAAATATTAATTTTTAATAATTTGAGGTGATACTAATTATTGGTGTTGGTAAATTATTCTCAGTACTTTTGTGGTTTTAAAAAATGTTTAAAAATTAAATGGTATTAAATAGTGGTAAGAGTTGTCTTGTTCTTGATTTTAATGGGAATGCTGGTGCATGAGACTAATATATCTTTTTATCTCGTTAAGTGAAAACAGCATTCCAATTTTAAGGTTAAAAAAAACAGATCTACGTTAAAATTTGTCAAATGCATCTTTAACCATCTATGGTTTTTCTCTCAACATATTAATATGGTGAATTTATTAATTCTCCATTGCTGTCAATTCTGACTCATAGTGGCTTTACAAGACATAGTAGTACTGTACTGCCACATAGGGTTTCCAAGGCTGTAATCTTTACGGAAGCAGACTGTCACATCTTTCTCCCATGAAGTGGCTGGAGGGTTTGAACCACCAGCCTTTCAGTTAGCAGCCCATGGCTTAACCACTGCGCCAGCAAGGCTCCTTGAATTTATTAATAGTTTTCCTAATATTGAAGAATTCTTGAATTCCTGGAATGGATTCCATTTAGTCATGGTGTATTTTTAACAAATACTTGGATTCAACTGTTAGTATTTTCTCTTATTTCTGCATAAATATCCATAGATGATTTGTAGGCTCTTTTTTCCTTTTTTATTCTACCTTTGTCAGGTGTTATGTCCAAGATATCCCGATGTGGTAATATGAAGTGTCATGGTTTGAATTATGTCCCCCAAAAAATGTGTGTATCAATTTGGCTAGGCCAAGATTCCTGGTACTGTGTGATTTTCCTGTATGTTGTAAACCTGCCTCTATGATGTTAATGAGGGAGGATGGGTGGCAGTTGTGTTAGTAAGGCAGGACCTGAGCTACAAGACTGGACTGTGTCCTCATGCAATCTCTTGAGATATAAAAGGCAGAAGTGAGCAGTGAGACAGGGGGACCTCATACCATCAAGAAAGCAGTGCCGGGAGCAGAGCGCGGCCTTTGGACCGGGGCCCCTGCGCAGAGAAGCTCCTAGTCCCGGGGAACACTGAAGAGAAGGCCTACGGAGAGAAAAAGGCTTCCCTGGAGCTGACGCCCTGAGTTTGGACTTTTAGCCTACTTTGACTGTGAGGAAATAAACTTCCCTTCATTAAAACCATCCACTTGTGGTATTTCTGTTGTAGCAGCACTAGATGACTAAGACATGAAGCAAGAGACTTCTACATTCACTGCAGCAGTTTACTGTTAGAATGACTTGTCTTTAAAGATTTGAAAAAATTTACCAGTTAAAATGCAATGGTGCTTTTGGATGGGTATGTGTGGAAAAGTTGTCCATTTTATCAATGGTTGCTGTTCTGTAAGGTTTTCTATGTCTTGTATTAGTTCAAGTTTTGTAAGTATTCCTTGGAAATCATTCATTTTGTGCTAATTTTGAACTTATTAGTATAGAATCAGACTAACTTTTGTGCTCCAAATCTTGTGTATGTTTCCCAAAGTGGCCCTAACAAATTACCACAGACAGTGATTTAACCACTAAAAAAAAAACTCAAACCCACTGCTAGTTGATTCCTAATCATAGCGACTCTGCAAAATCTGAACCGGTGGATTCAAACTGCCGACCTTCTGGTCAGCGGCCGAACTCTTAACCACTGTGTCACCAGGGCTGCAGCTTAACCACTACAGTGTGGTTATTTCCATTTTTCAATTCCTGTTTTGTATACTTGTGTTCTTTTCACCATTTTCTTGATTTGGAATTTTAATAAATGAGAAACTGCTTTAATTCTCCTGGAATCCAGATTTCTGAGTCCAGGGAATTGGGGTGACCCACCCAAGCCATCTGCCCTTGGGTAGCCTTTTGAACCCTGAGTCTTGAAGAAACTGGTTCGTGGGAGTCCCTTTGAGTCAAACAATGGTCTAGATAAAGTAGGAAGACCGTTTTGCCTTAGGCACTGTGCTCTTTTGAAGAATTCAGTCAGTTTTGGGAAACAGACAATGCTGTATGAAAATGCTTCCTGAACACAAATTTATCAGTTCTGTTCCGACCCTTTTTTCCATATGTCAAAAAGCTAAACGTGCAAAGACCAAAAATTAGTGTAACAATATATTTAATGTGAGTAGATACGATTCGAATCAGGCAACGTCAACCCAAATGTACTGAGAAGTCTCTCCAAGAGGGAACAGTGAAAGTGGGTTATGTAGGTCACTGTTATGTTAATTTCTCAGGAGCTAGCATCAAAGCACAATGTGGGGTTTCAGGGTCAGTTGGTTAGAGTCACGAAGGACATGCTATACACCCTAAAACACAGCCTGTAGTCAGACTCCGGAGTTCTTGCTCCTGAAACCTGGCTGCGCATAGATAATTTTTCAAAGGAACCCAATGCCTAAGTCAAATTGATCTCCCTAAGCTACTTACTGTAGAGGGTCAGTGAAAAAGAGGAAGACTTTCAACGAAATGGATTCACAGTGGCTGCAGCAATGGGGTCAAGCATAATAACGACTGTGAGGATGGTGCAGGACCCGGCAGTGTTTCTTTCTGTTATCCATGAGGTCGCTGTGGGTCGGAACCGACTCCACAGCTCCTAATGACAAGCTGCTTACTAGGCTACTGCTTGACCTGAAAGTGACTCCAGAGAACGGGTTTCTTAAAGACTGAAGGTTCAAAAGGACACTTAAGGGCAAATGGCCTGGGTAGGACACCACAATTCTATGAACCCAGAAATCTGGATTCCAGGAGATTCAAAACGGTTTTGTCACATGGCAATGCTGCTAAGATCTGGTATAAGAGTGTTTCGAGGTTTTCTCATTTTCAGAACTTTCTCTAGTCAAAAATGTTACCCCGATTTGCAAACTGTATATTAAATAAACTCAGTTTCTATTATTGGTTTAATATGATTTTGGAAGAGGCTGCATAGGCCCGGCTCACTGTTATTTACTCCCCCATTGCTAACCGCCACATTGGCTCGTGATTTCTCCCTCCCTTCTAGTCTCTACGAAAAGGTTTAAGATTAACCGATGTTCCTCCCTGGAGGGTGGAAAACAAGTGATAATGATCCAAGAATGAAAAACCAAACAAAGCATCCAACCTGTGACAAGAGTAAGCAGGATGTCGCCAGATAATCCCCAAAGATGTCACCAGATAACCTCTAAGAATACCAGTAGAAGGTTAACTCATCTAAGACATCATCACCTCAAGGGGAAACTACACAAAAGATCCATAATCCTGTCCCTATAAAAGACTCCAGCCGATCTCCAGTGGGGGAGACGGGTGTTTTGGAGGAATCTATTCCCCTCCGTCTCCTATATATCGATATATAATAAACATCTTGCTGCTCACCTCACCCCGTCTCAGAATTGGCTATTGGCGGCAGGAGGCTCCAATCCGCGTTATTGCGGTAACAATTTTTGTTTTAACATGACTTATCTACATCTATGTTCAAAGAACTGGATTTACTTCGTCATTTTCACTTCTGATTCATTAACTTCTGTTTTTATGTGTTGAGACTACTCCTTTGCTTCCCATAAGTGTATTGTTTTCTCCCAATGTCGTTAACGCCTAATTCAGCTACTTACATTCTTTTTTGTTAAGATAACCGAAGACTCTATTTTCTTCTACCTTATCTAAATGTCTTACATCTACAGTCAGAGGTAAGACGCTGTGTTTCCTCTTGATTTTCATCGACCACCGCCACTTTTCAGATGCGCTGGGCGTTTGGCCACAGCAGACGCCACATTTGGATCCCAAACCTCGGTCTAAAAACCCACGAGAAGCGCCTTTGTTTACGGCGTGGCGCCGCGGTGCCCTCAGGGAAATGTAGTTCTAAGCCGAACGGGACTCTGGGAAGTGTAGTTCTAGGGCAAGCAACCAAAAGCCAAACCCACTGCATCGACTAGATTCCCTCATGGGGCTCCTATAGGACGGAGTAAAACTGCCCCGTAGGGTTTCCAACGCTGTAAAACTTTGCGGAAACAGACTGCCATCTCTTTCTCCCATAGAGCGGCTGGTGGGTTCAACTGCCGACCTTTCCGTTAGCAGCTAAGCACTTAAAGCACTGTGCCACCAGGACTGGCAGATGTAGTTCTGCGCGGACATTTAGCAGTTGGCCATCGGCCTGGGCGCTGCGGGGGCCGGAGGGGTGAGGAAGTGTGGAGCGGAGGCAGATCGCGACCGTAACGACTGACTCGGCCCTCGGTCAGAGGAAGACCCGCGGGGGCGGCTCTGCAGCGCATGAGCGGATTTCCGGCAGATTGGGGTGGGGGGGGAGCAGCATCTGGGGGGTCAGTGAGATCTGGGGCGTTGTTGGGGCCGGGGAGCGTTTTTTAGCGATTAGAAACGTGGAGGAGCTCTTGGGGGTGGCTGAGGGATTGGAGGCACCAAGGAGTGGGTGGTTCGGCTTTGGAGTGGGGAGCGATGTGGTGAGTCCCGGAAAGGGCGGGGACTGTGGATTTTATTGATTGGGACTTGACAGTTTGGCTCGGGTCCTATAGGGGTCAGTGACTGGGGTAGGCGGACCAGTGGTTGGGGTGCTAGATGAGGTGAGTAATTGGGAGCCTGTACGGTGAATGATGGGGGGGGGGGGAGGCGTGCTGGGAGGGGTATGGAATAGGTTTTGTTTTAAATGATTGGAGTTAGTGAGGAATGATTGGGGACCTGTTAGGGCCAGTGTTTGGGGTCTATGGGTCTGTAATCAGGGTGTTTGCAGACGGTGATTCGGCAGCTTTAGCGGTAAGGGATGGAGGTATGCTCATTGTTAATGCTTTCAGGGTACCTGAGGCGGGTGAATGATTGGGGACCTGTGGGCCTGAGTTGGTGGTCTAAAGGTGTCAGTGATTTGAAGGTGTGAAGATTTGGACTTGGAGTGCCTTGTGATTGGAGCATATGAAAAAGAAAAAACCCGTTGCCGTCGAGTCGATTCAGACTCATGGCGACCCTATAGGACAGAGTAGAACTAACCCATAGGGTTTCCAGGGAGCTCCTGGTGTATTTGAACTGCCGACCTTTTTGTTAGCAGCCAAGCTCTTAACCACTATGCCACCAGGGTTTCTGGAACATATGTGGAGAGCAGAAATTGAGTGTCTGATAGGATCAGTGAAGGACACCTGGGATTTGCTTTTTGGAAGGGCCATGAGATTTAATGTTTGTGGGGTGAATGATTGTGGTTTTGTGCAGCTTTGGGATTGGTGGGGTCTGTGAAGTTTCAGAGAACAGGGAGGCTATCAATCTCATTATTGGAGGGGAGATTTTTTTTCTCACTGAATTATTTCTGTGCCTCAGGGATGAGTGATTTGGGGAGGCCCATGGCGGGTGGGGAGCCCTGGTGGCGCAGTGGTTAAGAGGTCAGCTGCTAACCAAAAGCTCAGCAGTTCGAATCCACCAGCTGCTCCTTGGAAACCCTAGGGGGCAGTTCTACTCTGTCCTACAGGGTCACTATGAGTCAGAATCAACTCTAAGGCAATGGGTTTGGTTGGTTTTATTGGGGGTGGGTAATGGAGGGGGGTGGGTGCTGTATGTATCAGTAGTTGTAGGCCAATGGGGGAAATGAGTATACGATGTCAGTTTATGCCAGTGACTGGGTCTAATGGGTGAATTGGGGACTATTAAGGATGAATAACTGGGGGACCCTCTGGGGCTCAGTGATTGAGGAAACCTGGGAATGAATCATTAGGAGAGTAAATGATCAGGAGACTATGTGGTGAATGATTTGGTAGCCTGTGAATGGAGGTCAGAGATTGGTGACATTTGGCAGTGGGTAACTGGGGTGGGGGCAGGCTACAGGAATGCCTGATTGGGGATACAGTAGATTTGGATAACTGGGGTGACATGTTGTGGGAACAATAAGGGTGCGTTATGAGGAGGCCTGTGGGATTATTACTTTTGAAGATCAGTAGTGGGAATTGTGGGTGTACGTGATAGGGTTATGTGAGAATAGTGATGGGGCCAAGTGGGTCTGAGTGATTGGGAATTGCAAGGCTTGTGGGCGGTTACGATTGGTGGGCGTAAGTAACCAAAGGGTCTTGCAAGTGGTTGATTAGGGGAGCTGTGGAATTGATTGGGGGGGCTTTAAGGGTAATGACTGGGAAGGCCTCAGGGGGCAATGACTGGGGACCAGGGGCATCTTGATATCAGATGTTGGCTGGTCTGTAGGAGTTAGTGAATGGACTGTGGAGGAAGTGATTGGGGGCCTTTGGGCATGAGTCATTGGAGGTGCCTCTTTGATTCATGTTTAGGGAGACCCTGTGGGAGCTGATGACTGGCGGACTTAGAGGTAATGAATGTGGGTATGGTGGGGCAGGGGGTGAGGGGCTAGGAGTCCTTTGAGGGTTAGTGATTGAGAACTGATGGGGTGGCCTATAAGGATATGATAACAGTCCTATGAGTGTATTTATTGGCCTGAAAATATGTTCATATATAGTGTAAATGCCAGTTCAAAATTTTAAAAAGACCATAAGATCACATTTTGTAATAATGTCAGCAGTTTCTCTCAGCCTATGAGATGTTCTCATTTCCTATTTGCCATGTTACATTCATACACCCACAGTCTCTTCCTTCCTCACTTACAGTCTCCCAGACCACCCACCCTTGCTACCAAAAAAATCAAGGAGAGATTCTTCAGACATTCCAGAATGAGGTGCTATGGAAGCTTATGTAAGACAAGAGCTCTGGAATTCATTGGTAGGCCTATTACAGACCATACAAGTTTATACTCCATGCACACACATGCAGTTCTGTATTTGGGTTTTGCCCCCTTTCTCTTAGTCCCACAGCATGCAAGGCAAGGCCAGAGGGCTCTAATCCTCCCTTCCAAGCACAGGAAGGGGCATCTGTGTCATATCAGGTTGACGAGTTGACAGGGCCTTCAGTGGCAAAGCAAAATTTCAACATATGCATTCAGGCTCCAGAAACACTTATCCTATTGTCCGCTTCTTATTATAAGAGTCTTTAGTAGGCACTTTTATTTCAGCATCTCCTTTAATACTTATATTCTACATGGTCCCTATTTCCATCATCATTTAAAAAAATAAACAACCAAGCCCAGAAGAGTGAGTGACTTGCTAAAAATCACATAGCTGGCAAATGAAAAAGCTCAGCTTGAACTTTGTTTTATTCCTTGTCTCATTTTTTTCTGCTTTGCCTGAAACATGTTTTACTGCCAAGTACCTAAGTATTCTGTACCATGGGGTCTCGTCTTGAGGAAATATTTGCAGAACTACTGAGTAAATCTCAGAGGTGATCATGGAATTAACAGAGTTTTGGTGTTTCCACAGAGCAATTGGGTTAAATGCTGCTTTTAGTGCTGTAGGTTCCTTCTGCCTACTCCAGTATTTTGGGTCCCTGTTAGCTCTGTTTAGAATCTATAGAAGACCTAGTCTGGGCTTTAAATGAAAGTGTTTCTATTTAAAAAAGGAGATTTAGGAGGATGCCTTAACTAAAGAGAACTTGCGACTGATTCAACAGATTCCAGCTCCCAGGAACTAACTGGCTCATTTGATGTAAAGAGGAGGAGATCCCAGGACCAAGGACTCATCCTTGGTGAAGAAAGTCCTGACCTTAGACCTCCAACCTGGGCATTAGCACAGAGTCCAGAAGACTCACAGCATAAAGAAGAGCCTAGAGTTGCTGGCCATTTCGCAAGAGCAGCAGAAAATGACCAAGTCCCAGGTGAGTTTTTTTTTAAACAACAAATAATTTTTTTATTGTGGTAAATACATAGGGAACAAAACATGAGTTGTTTCAATGACATGTACAGTTCAGTGACATCAAACAGGTTCATCATGATGTTCAACCCCAGGCTGAGATATGTTTTATTTATTCCTCACTTGGAGTTCCCTACAATTCACTCGTTTAAAGTGGATAATTTAATGTTTTTTAGTAAGTTTACAAGATTGTACAACTATCACCGCAATCTAATTTTACAGTATTTTCATCCCCCCAAAAACAAACCCTCTACTCATTAGCATGTACCCCCCCTTCCTTCCCCTACATTTTTACCCCCAACTCTAGGCAACCACTAATATACTTTCTGTCTCTATGGATTTGCCATTCTACATATTTCATATAAGTAAAATCAGGTGTGGTCTTTTGTGACTGGTTTCTTTCATATAGCATGATATTTTCAAGGTTCATCCATACTGGAGCATGTATCAGTACTTTATTCTTTTTTATTGTGGAATAATATTCCATTGTGTGGATATACTACATTTTATTTATCCATTCATTAGTTGCTGGACATTAGATTGTTTCCGTATTTTGGCTATTATGGGTAATACTACTATGAACATTTGTGTATATGTTTTCTATTCTCTTGGATATTTACCTAGGAGTGTAATTGCTGGGTCATACGGTACCTATATTTAACATTTTGAGGAACAGCCAAACTGCTAACGCTGCTGCACCATTTTACATTCCCCAACAATATGTGAAAGTTGCAATTTCTGCACATTCTTACCAACACTTGTTATTGCCTGTCTTTTTTATAACCATTCTAATGGGTATGAAGTGATATCTCATTGTGGTTTTGATTTACATTTCCCTCAAGGCCCTGGTGGCACAGTGGTTAAAGCGTTGGACTGCTAACCAAAAGGTCAGTGGCTCGAAACCACCAGCAGCTCTGTGGGAGAAAGATGTGGCAGTCTGCTTCCGTAGAGATTTACAGCCTTGGAAACCCTCAGAGGTCGCTATGAGTCGGAATTGACTTGACAGCAGTGGGTAATGACCAATGACGTTGAGCATCCTTTCATGTGCTCATGGGCCATTCATATATATTTGCAGAAATGTCTATTCAGATACTTTCCCCATTCTTTTTCTCTAAATTTTATTTATTTTGTTGTTATTAAAAATATACACAGCAAAACATACAATAATCAACAGTTTCTACGCATACAATTTAGTGACAGTAATTACATTCTTCAAGTTGTGCAACCATTCTCACCCTCCTTTTCTGAGTTGTTCCTCTGCCATTAACATAAACTCACTGCCCCCTAATACTGCTATCTAATCTTTGGAGTTGCTGTTGTCAATTTGATACTATATAGATAATTCTTAAAAGAGCATAATACTCAAGGCAGACCTTTTTTACTAGTTAAGCTAAACTATTGTTTGGTTTTAAGATGACTTCAGGGAATATTTTTGGTTTAAGGTTTAAAGATTATCTCAGGGGATACTTTCAGGGTTCATCCAGCCTCCATGGCTTCAGAATGCCTGGAGTCCATGAGAATTTGAAATTTGTTCTGCATTTTCTCCCTTTTGATCAGGATTCTTCTATGGAATCTTTGATCAAACTGTTCAGTAATGGTAGACGGGCACCATCCAGTTCTTTTGGGCTCAAGGCAAAGGAGGCAGTTGTTCATGGAGGCAATTAGCCACACATTCCATATCCTCCTCCTGTTCCTGACCCTGCTGCTTCCTCTGTTGCTCCAGGTGAATAGAGATCAATTGTCTTTGCTCATTTTTAACTGGGTTGTCTTTCTATTATTGAGTTGTAAGAGTTCATTATATATTTTGGATATAAGTCCTTATCAGATACATTATTTGAATATATGTTCTCCCATTCTGTGGATTATCTTTTCACTTTCTTGATGGTGTCCTTTAAAGCAGAAAAGTTTTTAATTTTTTTATTGTATTTTAGATGAGAAGTTTTTAATTTCGATAAAGTTCAATTTATTTTTTCTTTTGTTGATTCTGTTTTTGGTGTATCTAAGAAATCATTCCTTAATCCAAGGTCATGAAGATTTATAGCTTCTAAGAGTTTTATAGTTTTAGCTCTTACACTTAGGTCTATGAACTGCTTTAGTTTTTAAAATGGTGTGAAGTAGTAGTCCAATTTCATTCTTTCGCTTGTGGGTATCTATTGTCCCAGACAGTTTGCTGAAAACACAATTCTTTCCCCAGTAAATTGTCTTGGAACCTTTGTCAAAAATCAGTTGACAAAATGGTTGCACAACTTGAAGAATGTGATCAACGTCACTAAATTGTACATGTAGTAACTGTTGAATTGATGTATGTTTTGCTATCCACATACTCAACAAAATAAACAAAGTTTAAGGAAAAAATCAGTTGACATTAATTGTAAGGGTTTAGTTTTGGGCTCTAAATTCTATTCCATTGATCTGTATGTCTATCCTTTTGCCAGTACAACACTGTCTTCATTATTATAGCTTTACAGTAACTTTTACAATCTGGAAGTGTGAGTCCTCCAACTTTGTTTTCATTTTCAAGATTGTTTGGGTATTCTGGGTCCCTTGTATTTTCCTATGAATTTTAGAATCAGCTTGTCCATTTCTGAAAAAAAGCAAGCTGGGATTTTGATAGGGATTGCATTAAATCTGTATAATCAATTTGGGAAGTATTGCCATTTTAACAATATTAAGTTTTCGGCTCCATGGATGTGTAATGTCTTTCCATTTATTTAGATGTTCTCTAATTTTTCAGTGATTTTAAAGAAAGGCTATTAGAGTCCTTTCAACAGAAGTTAAAAACATAGATTAAAAACCAAGATTGGGGAGAAATATGTTCTTATAATACGAGATTAAGATATAGATTAAGTAGTATGGATTATAGTTTGTAAAAATTGTACAGGGATGCATAGGTATTAAAGTTGAGCTGCTTTTGTTTGTGATATTTCCATCAGCTTAAATACAAGGAAAAACAATTACATTCTTTTTATTGCTGATATATTAAAATGTGTTTTTAAGTTTCATCTATGTCCTTATATAGAGCTGTAATTCGTACATTTTCACTGCTGGATAATCCAGTGTCACTGTTTATCTATTTTCTGGTCAGTGAGCATTTGAACTGTTTCAAATTTGCTATTTTAAACAACGATGCTCTGAATAGGCTTATACTTGTCACCTAGTATATACACGTGGAAGAGGGTGTCTAAGTATGGGTTGGCAAACTTTCTCTGTAAAGAACCAGGTGGTACAAAAAAAGACCAGACTTACCAGTCTGACAGAGACTGGAGAAACCTTGAGAGTATGGCCCCAGGATACCCTTTTAACTCAGTACTGAAGTCACTCCGGGGGTTCACCTTCAGCTGAAGATTAGACAGGCCCATAAAACAAGATGAGACTAAATGGGCACACCAGCCCAGTGGCAAGGACGAGAAGGCAGAAGGGGACAGGAAAGCTGGTAATGGAGAACACATGGTTGAGAAGGGGAGATTGATGACATGTTGTAGGGGTGGCAACCGATGTCACAAAACAACAATATGTGTATTACTTGTTTAATGAGAAACTAATTTGCAATGTAAACCTTCATCTAAAGTACAATTAAAAAAAGAAAGAAAGAAAACCAGGTCCTGGCCATTCGTGCCCTAAAGGGGCAAGTGAAGGACCCAACAAACAAAACCAGATGATAAATGTTTAGGCTTTGCAAGCCGTAAGTTCTCTGTAACAACTACTCAACTCTGCTACTGCATCCCCAAAGTAGCCATAGACAGTATGTAACGAATGGACCTACCTGTGTTCCAATAAATTTAATTTACAAAAACAAGCACTGGGATGGGCTGGATTTGGCCCACAGGTCATAGTTTGCTGACTTCTGCTGTAAAGTATAAACACAGAGAATGGAATTACTGAGTCATGGGAATATGAATGTTCAAATTTACAAGATAATGCCAAATTGTTTTACAAAATCTTTGTACCAATGTACACTTTACCAGCTGTGTAGTATTTTCTATTCGTCTACATCCATATCAACTCTTGATATGATAAAGTTTTTAAGTCTGCTATTCTAGTGGGTGTAAATGGTAACTCAGTATAGTTGTAATTGTACCCCCTATGTGTTTCTGTCATAGCCCTGGATAAAGCTGGTTTGCGATGCAAGACTGAAAGCTCTTTTGAGGGCAAGATGTGTTTTATTCATCTTTGTACTAACAGCACCTAGAGTAGTACCCAGCACATTTGTTGTTCAATAAATGTATTCTATATCAATCTATGTTATTTAAACAACTTAAAGTACAATAACAGAACTGTTTTAAAAAATTTTGTCTCTCAAAGTATAATGCAATACTAGGTATACGATAGTCTATATAATGAAGCCTGATAAAAGTGGTCAGAATAAATGTATCAGTTAGGAATGCTTTCAGTTATGAGCAACAGAAGACCTATATAATGGTAGCTTTAATAAAAGGGCCATTCTCATTTTTCTCCTATAAAATGCCTGCAAGTAGGCAGGCTAGCGCTGCCACAGCTCTTCACTGTCGTCCTGAGGAATTAGGATATTGCTAATTTTTATCTCAGCCATACTTAATAGGTTACCTTTCTATCCACACATATTGCTGCATGGTTCAAGATGGCTACCGTAGATCCAAGTATGACATCAGTATTAAAAGCAGGAAGGACGGTGAAGGGGGGCAGAGGGCACTATTAGTGTCTATGTTTTATCAGAAAAGCAAAAGCTTCCCCCAAAAACTTCCACAGAGACTTCTTGTTACATGCCATTGACCAGAACAAATTGGCAGAACATAGTCATGGGGCTCAATCTAGATGTAAGGGAGACTGTAGAACCAATTTTCTGACAAAGGGTGATATAGTGCCATCCCGATTTGCTTAAACAATTACGATTCATTACCTGGGACTGGGCACATTTTCACTTCTCATATAGTTAGGATTCTGTTAGCAAGGAAGGAGGTGGGGTAGCGATTTTGAAGGCAACCAGTGGTGCCTGCTACAGCGTTTCTTCATTATCCAGTATGAGTTTCTTCAGATTTAATGTGAACATGTTCTTTCAGGAATCATTGTCATTTGAGGATGTTTCTTTGGACTTCACGTGGGAGGAGTGGCAGCTACTGGACTCTGCTCAGAAGAATTTGTACAGAAACGTGATGTTGGAGAACTTTAGCAGCCTTGTGTCATTGGGTAAGGACAGCTTCCTGTTGAATCAGACTCTGACCAGTCATTGTCTTTTCCTACTAATTTGCCAAAAACTGTACGGCCTTTGAAGTGTTGAATTTAAGACTTTAAGAATTCACAAATTCTCAGTCCTTGTTTTCAGGGTGTTTTTCACACTTGTATCCCAACTGAAAGACTGCAGCCTCTGAAGCTTAACTTTCATTATTCTTCAGAAGCCTAAAGCTCAGGCCACTGGGCTCAGGTCTGCTGTGGTTTCCGATGAACAGGGTTTCAAGTTACCAAACCATATCTGATCTTCAGCTTGGAGTGAAACAGCCATGGATAATAGATGGAGCTGTCTCTAGTCAGAGCTTTTCAGATGTGTGATTGATAACCTATCAGACGTGAGGCAATGGAATTTAAATACCAGTTTGATTGTGGACTCTGAATAGTGAAGCTTTAGTGAAGGGTTAGAATCTTTGAATTATTGTTTAGGGAACTCTTCTTGAAGTCACTAAACCTTTGAAGTGACTCAGGACTGCTGACACAAGCTTTTCAGATACAGAGACATGATAACATATATAATTTGCACTTATGAAGGCAATTTGGCCATTTTTGCTTTGATTTTAGAGTGAGATATGTCCCCTTATCTGTACTCAGGAGCAGAACCATGCCTTTCTCATGTTTGTTGTTGTTTGTTGCCGTCAAGTCAGTTCCAACTTATAGTGACCCTAAGTACAACAGAACAAAACACCGCCTGGTCCTGCACTATCCTCACAGTTGTTAGCTTGAGCCCATTGTTGCAGCCAGTGTATCAATCCATCTCGATGAAGGTCTTCCTCTTTTTCACTGACACTCCACTTTACCAAGCATGATATCCTTTCCAGTTATTAATGGATGTTTGCAGCTGTTTCTTCTCATTTTGAGTCGTGCTACGTCAGCAAGTGAATGTTCCAAAAGCTTGACTCCATCCTTGTCGTTAAGATAGACTGTACTTTGAGGAGGTAACTCTTCTCCAATTGTATTTTGAGTGCCTTCCAATCTAAGGGGCTCATCTTCCTGCACTATATCAGACAAGGTTACGCTGCTATTCATAAGGTTTTCACTAGCTATTTATTTCAGAAGGAGACCACCAGGTCCTTCTTCCTAGTCTGGCATAGTCTGGAAGCTCAGCTGAAACCTGTTCACCATGGGTGACCCTGCTGGCATTTGAATACTGGTGGCATAGCTTCCAGCATCACAGCAACACGAAAGACCCCACAGTATGACAAACTGACAGATGCGTGGGGTTTCTCATATCCAGGACCTTGCATATTCCTCTTCCCTCTACACCTGCTGATAGGTTTCTTTTCTTATGCACTCAAGGATTCATTTTCTTTCCTCTCACTTTTCTAACGCATCCCGTTTTCTTCCCTTCCATTTTTAAATGCCTCCTATTACTATTATATACCCACATAATTTTTTCTATTCTTTCTTTGATTCCTTTTATGAGAGTCCACTCCTTCTATAACCTCCTGTAACCAAAGTGATAACTTTGAAGTCATCATTCCCTAACTGCTAGTGCAACGTTTTGTTGCCTTTGATAGTGTTGGTTGTACAGACATGAAACCTTACCTTTGCCTAGTACAGATTATCCTATCTTGGCCTCTAACAGCCTGTTCAGTCCAAGCTGTGTTGTTGTTGTTGTTTTGCCCTAATCGATTATCAGTTTCCTACTCCAGTTCATATGAGAGCGCTTTATTTAATTTTAATTCCCAAATTGTCATGCATGATTATTTCCACAGTTATAGTTCATAAGAGGGCAGTGGTGGTTCAGTGGTAGAATCCTTGCCTTCCATTTGGAGACCTGAATTCGATTCCTAGCCAATGCATCTCATACACAACCACCACCCATCTGTCAGGAAAGGCTTATGTGTTGCCATTGAAAACCCTATAGATCACAATAGTACAATTCGCAACCGATCATGAGGATGGTGCAGGATCAGGCAGTGTTTCATTCTGTCATGCAGAGGGTCGCCATGAGTCGGGGCTGACTCTACGGCAGCTGACAACAACAACACAGTTTATAAACACAGTTTTTGAAGGAGTCACAAGATGTGCTTATTCTTCTTTCTAGAATACTGGAACATTGATGATTATGTAGCTTGGCACCAGGAACTCCAAGACAAGCTTAAAAGACTGGAAAAGGATCATGGAAGTAATGCAAGTGGAAAGCTATTTCAGTCAGGCATGAACTTTGTACCTTTAAAGCGAAGACCCAATATGTACATGTCAAAGGAAAAATGTTTGAAATATCCATTGGATTTATTTACTCAGAGTGGAAACTATGGAAGGAAGAAGGCTGCTAAGTTCAATGGATATGAGAAGTCATTTCTCTATACCAAACATGAAAAAACTCATGCTGGATTGAAGTATTATGAATGTAATGAATGTGGAAAAGTCATCAGCAAGAAGTCACAGCTCATTGTACATCAGAGAACTCATACAGGAGAGAAACCCTTTAAATGCAATCAGTGTTGCAAAGCCTTTTCCCAGAAGTCACACCTTGTTACACATCAGACAGTTCACACAGGAGAAAAACTTTTTGGATGTAGTGAATGTGGGAAAGCCTTCTCTCGAAAGTCACATCTCATTACACATCAGAGAACTCATACCGGAGAGAAACCCTATGAATGCAATGACTGTAGCAAAGTCTTCTCTCAGATATCACAGCTCATTATCCATCAGCGAAGTCATACAGGAGAGAAGCCCTATGGATGTAGTGAATGTGGAAAAGCCTTCAGAGAGAAGGCAAGTCTCAATAAACATCAGAGGATTCATTCAGGAGAGAAACCATATGGATGCAGTGAATGTGGCAAAGCCTTCAGAGAGAAGTCAAGTCTCAATGATCATCAGAGGAT